AACTGATGGACCATTTCCCCCCTTCACATAAAAAAGCCCTTTAACATTATTTCCGTACCTTGTGCGAAACTTACGAAACCAAGATCTCAGCAGGCAAGGGAAACTTGAGAAAAACTATCTGCAAACTTCTGTTGGCCTATTGGACTACTGTAGTTTGCAATACGGCGCAATCGTAGGGATTTTAAATGGTATGCCTAATGCGAACTTGTGCGTCATGCCACAAAAATGAGGACATAGCTGAAAATGGGTTGTTGTTTTTTACGGGCTATTTAGAGCAAAACTGTTGTGTGGATTTATATAAAATGAATATCAGACAAATTCCTTCTGACTTCCAAATGTTGCGTACAAATTTGACACGCAAAACTTTAGTGTGGAGTAAAATATTAACAACAAAATTGGTAAAGTTGTTTTTTTGGATCACCTTGTATTTGAACTCATCAGCAAACAGACAGACAAAAGGTTACTAACTAGTATTCTGTACTTAGATACAGTGCTTGTCAATTCAATAAGTACAAGAAAAGTAATCCAGTAAAACTAGTTTTGTGTATTTCGAACCTTCCCTTTGCACTTCAAAAGTTGCAGACAGTCACGCCAGAATACGGCGTCACATAAGCTGTAAATGACCGGATTGGCTGCACTGTTCAGATAGTAAAACCTCAGGAACAGGTTACACAAAGTCAGGCTCACGTCGTCCATGGTTTTAAACTTTGCCACGGAGGTGAGGTAAAAGAGCATTACACTAAAAAAAGGAATGAAGCTGATAATGTAGACGGCGCTGACGATGATAAGCTTAGTGGTCGTCTTCCCAATGCTGTGTCTTTGGGCGGGTTGACCTAAAGTAGATGCAGGCGATTTCTTTTTGGCCTCAGAAGTCAGGATTTGGAGGATTCTTGGTTTTAATTTCCTATTAGGATTTGTGACAGACATGTCAGTTTTTTCACCAGCCGGATTCTTCTTTTTGATGTTCTGTTCCTTGCTAGTTCCAGGGATGACGGCAGTGATTTGTCCTTTATCTTTCTCTGCATTTGTGGAATTAGGATCAGGACGAATGCAGTCTTCTTGAGCTGATGTCTGAATGAATGAAACCATTTTAGCAGATGGCACTGAGACCTGTTTCGTTTTCCTGTGCTCACTACAACAAAAGTCCGTTGCTTTAGGTTTACGGTCACTCGTGTCTTCTGTTGCACCACAGAGTTTCCCTTCTCCGATTTTATCCGACCCGTCATTTTCACGTGAAAAAACCATCCCCATTTCCCCTGTTTGCGATGCTACTCTGCCCATTAGCCTACTTCTAAAAGCACTGCCCTCTTTGCTTGTGCTCGGAGATTCATTTCTCGCCTTACTTGCATTATCGCATGTCTCTGGGCTCGTAGTACTTGATTGAGAATTGTTTTCAGAATTGTCGTGTAAATGCGCAGGGGACGAAATGGAAAACACGCGCACTCTTCCGCGACCGCAAGCTGCAATAAGGACCAGGACGTTCAAAACGACTAGAGGGATGAAGCAGGACAGGAAAAGGAAGAGCAGGAAACCCATGTAGACCGTCGGCCAGATGGTATTTATGAAACTGTCGTCTATAGAGCACTGGTTACCGACGATGTCTGGACGATGGGTCGGTCTTGTCATAGTTCCGAACAGCACGAGGACTGGGACGCTGGCAACTGACGAGAACACGGTGATGGAGACGCACAGAACCTTAGCCTGTCTCACAGTCAGTTGCCTGCCAAACGGACGGCATATTTTTCGGTACCTGCAAAAAAAGAGATATTATGCTAGTCAGTTTGGTTTGTGTGTTGTTTTTTTAAGAGGATGGAAACGATCCACAGCAGATAGATCTAATAGAGGCCGGTTAAGACCTCATCAGACCCATACAGTATCCGTCCTGCTTTCGAGCCGGCACAAGGCCGAGAAGAGTCGGGAACAAATACTTACACTCGCCTTTGATCTTAGCCAAAAGACCGAGAAGCGTCGAAATAATCTAGTAAGTTGTCTGAAAGAAAGCTGCATCATATTTTTTCATTATTATTATGTAAGATTACAATGGCTTAATCAACTATGTCAACCAAAAATATTTGAAATAAAATCAGTCTGAGCCGAAGTAAATGAAAGTTGACAGAAAACCAGGGAGGCTATTTGGGTGTTGGGGGGGGGGGGGGGGGGC